TTCAGACCTCGTACTTTCTGGATGCTTGTAGAATACAGGTTCTACTCCACATTCAAGTCTTCTTATTTTTACTCAATATGGGGGTTGGGATAATTGGATTTGAGTAGCATGTTGTGTCACCGGATCCTCGATCCTCGCTCTCGTTTTCCGACTGAGGTAAACTCGTAATAGTTCAAGTATATCAAGTTGATGTGTTTACGTGTAGGCATTACACATTTATATTCATCTTATATGTTTTTGAATAACGATGACTTAACAGACTAAAGAAAATTCATGTTACACTATCAATTAGATATGATGTAATAATGTTTTTGTTTTTAGAATTTTTATTCACAACAACCATTAAAAAAAATATTTCGAAAACAACTCAATCTATCTTCATTTTTCATTTATTCTATGCTGAAGTAAAAAAAAACCATGCACTGATTGTATGTTGTATAGAAGTTATTGTCAAAATATGAGTTTTTATGACTTGTTTTAAGTAGATTACATTTAAATTCAGAGCAATATTTATTTATTCAGTCAAAATACCATGAAATATATTATATTTTTTTTATGACTATTCATAAAGTCATCATGAATTTCCATTGTCATACATACATCATCATACTTATGCGTGTTACATCGACAAGTATTGAACAGTACTACTTTTTACTTATTCAGTAGTATGTCAAAATAACCATGAAAATAATGTTGATGGTGACGATTAATAACTGGTTAACATGTGAACTGAAAGCAATTTTTATACATAACTGATGCGCTATTTTATTACATTTCATATTTGACATTATTTATGTATATATGTGTGTGTGTTATTATTATTACTTGAAGTACACAATATGATGACATTGTGAAATAAAAATGTTGTTTACCTCATTCTTGATATTATTATGACTCTGTTGATTGCAAGAAATTAAATTTATGGTTTTGTTGAAAAATACTTACTTACTTACTTACGCCTGTTACCGCCAATGGAGCATAGGCCGCCCACCAGTTTTCTCCACACAACTCTGTCCTGGGCTTCCCTCTCCATTTCTGTCCAATGTTTGTTCATTCTTCTCATATATTTCTCTATTTCTCGGCGTAATGTGTTCCTTGGCCTTCCTCTTTTTCTTTTGACCTTGAGGGTTCCATGTGAAGAATTGTTTCTTGACGCAGTTGGGTGCTTTCCTCAATGTGTGTCCTATCCAGTTCCACCGATTCTTCCTGATTCCCTCCTCCACTGGTATCTAGTTTGTTCTCTCCCACAGTAGGTTGTTGCTGATGGTGTCTGGTCAACGAATCCGAAGTGTTTTACGTAGACAACTGTTAATAAACACTTGTATCTTCTGGATGACAGCTTTCGTAGTTCTCCAAGTTTCCGCTCCATACAGTAGAACTGTCTTCACATTTGTATTGAAAATCCTGATTTTGGTGTTGATTGATATTTGTTTGGAGTTCCAGATATTTTTCAACTGTAGAAATGCAGCCCTTACTTTGCCGATCCGCACCGTCACATCTGCATCGGATCCACCTTGGTTTTGTTGAAAAATACCAAATACTAAAAAAGATGAATTGAACTTTGTTAGACTATCATTAGATGATACTTGGAAGTGCTGTTTCGCCTGTAGTATGCGCTTCCAAGACATCTACTCACAAGAATCCGACGTGGAACCGTCGGTTCTTTGCGAGAACACTTAAACTACAAACCACTTAGTTGGCTAACTTTGACCAGTCCAGAGTATTGTGCAAGTTCACCCATTGTCTTCAGTAGGTCATTGTCTACACGTGACATGGATTTCGTTCCACTGGCTACGTCTTCCCGCTAGAAATCCTCTGACGAATCCAGTCACCAGGGAGCTTAATTCGGTCCTGTTAAATCACTTGTTTATATATATATATATATATATATATATATATATATATATATATATATATATATATACGGGAATGATTTCTATCACTAAAGAACATAAGCTAGAAATCAATTTGACAATGAGAAACTCTAAACCGTTTTTATCGTTCTAGTTAAGTACTACTCATCAATATGTGATTGTACATAGAAATCATGCATTCGTTTTTCTGATAATCTGTTTATATTATCAAAAACTTCCACTGAGTAGTAGCATGAATTATTCATGTCGAACAATACATAAACCAATAATTAACTAAACTAAACAGAAATCGTATTCTGTCAACAGTGTATTTGTCCTTTCAATCTGTCACAACAGAAAAATAAACTTGACTTTATTGTTAATTATTAATAATAGTAATTTTTCGAAAAAAATATCCTATAGAATTTAAAAATTTGTTATTGTATGGTATTTTTAAACAAAAGGTAGCGGACGTGTCATGCGTCGGGAGAGAGGGCATCAGATGCCTTGTCCGACCTTATGCTGAGGACTGCCAACCATCTCTTCTTTTCTGATACAAATGCAAAATGCTGCTTCACTTTTGGGTTTCGTCGGTACCTGAACTAGTGATAGGAAGAGAAGCAGTTGAGCGTTTTGACCGCTTCACTTATCTCGGGAGTCTCATCAGTAACGATGGCCTGGGGGTTGACGAAATCTCAGCACGGATACAGAAAGCTCGATTGGCTTCTGCCAACCTGCGTCACTAATGGCGAAAACGAAATATCCGTTTGCTAGCTAAAGGACGAGGGTACTGCGCGATAGTTCGCTCCGTCCTACTTTATGGCTGTGAAACATGGCCAGTCAGAGTAGAAGATATTCTTAGGTTGCTTCGCATTGCTCAAGTATTGTCGAACAGCCGAGTAAGCAATGCTGTTGTTAGGAAACGGGTGCTAGGTAAGGATGGCAGGTCAATAGACGAAGTAATGAAACTTCATCAGTTGGGGTGGTTGGGACACGTGTTACGTATACCTAACCGCCGACTGACTCGACGAGCTATGTTTTGTGGTATAGTGATAGGCTGGACGAAAGCTAGGGGTGCCAAACCAAAATATGGCAGAAATCCATGAAGTCATTAACAAGTGAACTGAGTAATGTCGGTAGATGTCAACTACCTGGTTGGGGTCCGCGAGATGATAATAATCGATGGTTAGAGACCCTGAATAATAACATGGCTCAAAATCGTTTGCAGTGGCGCAGGTGCATTCAATTCTTTGTATTCTATGAAATTCTAACCTTCCAAATTCCGCATCACCTCTATCTTTCTCTTTTGACATTTACCTCACTGAATTATACTTCTTGAATAACATTTTTGAACCCCAATCTCTCCGGTTACTTCTAATACTTCTACTACCTCTACTACTAAGAGATTTGAATTGAAAGTTATATCTCTGTGCTAATGTGGCATGGCAACTTGGACTGATGTACTTACGTTGTAATTGACTGACTAACTTTTAAACAAAAGAGGAAAGATAACATTTAGGATTGAATATTGAATACGGCTCAGAGTTTTTCACTCTTTTGATTATAACATATACATATGTGTTTTATTACGAGGTTGTGAAGATTGTTCACCTAAGCATTTTGAAAACATGAATCAATCATTGTTAGACCACACCATTAGAAATCTGGAAGCACTGAAAGACAGCCGTTTCGACCTGGTATGGGACTACTCATCAATGGCAGTGCGCATCCACGACTCCTGCACCCCACAGGATTCGAGCCCAGGACGTTGGGTCTTGTGCACGAACGCCTAATAATAACAATAATTATAATGATATGAAGCGCTGAGATCGATCTCTATGAGTGGCAGGGGTCATGGGTGCACACTGCGGATAAATCCTAGACTAGAATAAGATGGCTGTCATTCAGTGCTTTTCAAGTTTCTAATGGTGGTCTCATATCGATTGGTTGATAATTTAAAATTATATTTTATAGATTAATTTTAGAATATCAAAAATAGAAAAGAATCAATGAATTATTTCATAAATTTATGTAAAATACAGTTAAGTGGAAAATAATGAAAGGATACGTTTGTTTTAAATTTCTAGCATTGGCAGAAAGTTTTCAGAATATACATCATAAGTTGCGTGGTTCAATGAACTATCCCATAAAATGTATAGATATGCATACAATTCCGAAAGATTGATAACAATGAACATGGAACTGTTTTATTTCTAAACTAAAAATCAAATCATTTTTCAAAATTCATTTTCTAGTCAAGATAAACTGTATTTGTTTAAACCAATGACCGAATGTTCAAGGTATTCGTCATCGCTGATGTGAGTTTGTTGGGGATGTTAGATCCCCCTGAACTCACTTGACAAAGGTCTTTATTTTGGATTTTATTTATGGGCGGATCAGTTGACCTTGAGAATACATTTCTCAGCATGAAGATCTTTGGCTGTGATTGGTTACTGTGTTGTTTTAGTGATCTATTTTTGTGGCTCTCCCAAGGACGTTTCTATGATGTATAAATAAACGCGATTTGTGTGCTTGAGATCATTATATTTTATGCACGCTTGTAGAATACACTTTCTACGTCATATCAAGATTCCTTCTTCAGTTAGGTGGGGAAGTGGATCAGTGTAGCCTATCGTGTCACTGGTTCATTGTCTCGTTCTCGTTTATCGACAAAGGTGAACTTGTAATAGTTCCAAGAATATCAATTTTTTTAACGAGCATAACAGAGTTCATCAATGTCATATTTTGGAAAATTCCGAAAATATTTTGTAGTGACCATCAAAACGATTTTTACCACCTTTTCTCTTATCGATCTGTCAGTTTTAATCTGTTTATTAATTCTGTTCTTCTATGGTAGAAATCGGTAAATCGATATTCACATTTTCTCAATACACCAACCGTTCAGAATCACTGAACCATGCAAACCTCATTCAATTATGTTCTCTGTCGAGTTTCTCAGAGGTTATTGCCAGTCCTAATCCCGGATAACGGGGGAGGTTTGGACATGTGGTCAGTTCCCCCGTCCCGTAGAAAACTAACTTGCTAAAAAAGCGCTAACCGGAAAAATAATTAAATCGTGAACAAGTTTATGAGTGATTCTTAACGATTTCGTTTTTTGGGGCAGAGTTTTGGAAGTTGTGTTTTTTTTTACACATAGTATTCATTCAAAATATGGTCCAACGAATTTATCGAATACTGAAATATAATGATGTACATGGACAGTAGAGATTTGAATTATCAAACCAAGGGAAGTCAAAGAAAAGATGTTCTGCATAAAAGTATTCTGGTTATTTTCAGTTAGAGTTTTGGAGATTTTTGTGTTTTTACACATTTGAAATCATCAATCAATCATTGTTAGACTACACCATTAGGAACCCGGGAGCACTGGACGGCCGCCTCATCCTGGTTTGGGACTCATCGGCAGTGCGCACCTCGCAGGATTCGAACTCGAGACCTTCGTTCGTGTGCACGAACGCCTAACCATTGTACCACTAGACCAACGTCCAACGGTGTTATTGTCAAACTCCGATTGATCTAGGGATTCGGTGCGACCTAGTCCATTTTTCTGTGACAGTTACTGCCCAAACGCGACAGGGTTGAACTCTATTGGCCACGTCTTCTCACTAGAACTCCGAGAATTTCCTCATGAAGTTAGTCACTGGTGAGCACATGTTACGATACTTTCAGCTAGAGTTTTCGAGATTTGCGTTTTCACATATTTGAAATCATCAATCAATGATTATTAGACATGGCTAATGGAGTTCAACCCTGTCAGGTGTATGCAGTAACTACCAAAGACAAATGGGATAGGTCGCGCCAAATCCCTAGATCAATCGGAGTTAGACATTAACACCGTTGGATGCCGGCCCAGTATTCCGATTTTCAGGCGTTCGCGCACAATACCGAATTTCCCGGGTTCGTATTCTGGTTATCATTGTTTTTATAAGTAGGAATCATAAATGAATCATAATTTATCACTTCTAGACACCTGAAAGCTGCAGACGGCCGTCTCGTCCTGTCAGGTGCAAGCAGCACCTACCGAAGTCAGTGTCAGTGGTTCCCACAGACTATTAGGTTGATCGGAACTAGACATAACCTTCGCTGGATTCCAACTCCGTTCCGCAGGTCAGACGCTCGCCTTCAAGACCAAAGAATTCAGGCCGAAATCTTGCGAATGGCAGTGGTCGTAGATGCGCAGTGCTGTACCATTCCAGGACCAAACGGCCATCCTGTGCTTCGTGGTTTCTAATGATGATGTCCATAAATTATTCCTTAATGATTTCAATGTGTGAAAACATTTTTCAAACACAATTTGCACCCATTTTTCGTGAAGTTTGCGGAAAATAAGATAGTGAATGAGTGCAGGTATGCTAAGTAAAATAAATTATTGTAATCAGTAGCAGAGATCACTTTGACGGCTATCAAAAACATGAAACCTTTCAGTTCCATTCTCCTTATTTTTGTTTTCTAACCGCTTTACACAGAACGTGAGTGCATAAATGTAAGTCCAGTCGCCAAACGAGGACCTCAAAAAAAACCAAATAGCAACTCTTCACAGGAATTATCTACATCAACAAGTTGTCAGTGCATACTGAAAATTCAAAATTATTCTTTAGGTTAAATTAGACGCTGATCTAAGTGTTGACGATTCACACAAGTCATGGAATTATATTTCCATATTCAAGATTTGAACATCATTGCAGCCACTCGTGTCACCTGTTTCACAATAATGATAAGAACTTGCACTGAATCACAGAATCGCAATGATAAAATAGTTATTTATTCTGCAAGAACTCACTCTGTTTATTGCTGAAAGATTTGCTCTTCTTTCTGGTTCATTCACATCAGAATATAGGACAAAAGGTATGATATTTCGAACCTACAACATGTATGTATTTGTCATGAATAAGTGAAAACAATTGAAAAAAGAAGCAAACCTTTTCCTTGGCAAAGAGTTTTGTTTCACTGTCCAACCATGTCGCCTGTGTAATCGATTGAGCAATGGTGTCTCTCAATTCTGAAACTAGTTGCTGTACCTTTAATTGAAAAATGTCTGATTTAGTTAAATATTCAACCTTATCAATGGTGCTAAAAATTTCTTTTCACATATACGTTACATGAAATGAGTTCTTATTTGTTTGATCTTATAATAGTCAGTGTTTTAAATTACGTCACTCAGGTTGACTGGAAAAAGGGTCAGCCTGTTGTTCAACTTCTTATTGCAATGAAGCTGTCGGTAAAAGGAAGGTAACTAGCAAGAAGTCAAGGGAAATAATCACCCCTCTAGGTGGACGATCTGGGCTAGCCCTTTGCATATCTGGTTCCCATTCCGTGACCATCTTTCGCCTCCTACCTCTACTTTGTACATAACACGCCTAACTCTTCTGACCATACGAGCTTCTTTCCAAGGACCTTACGTTGGTGTGTGGTCACGGGACAAAACAGGACATCCTACTTCGTAGGTCGATTGCTTTTCAGACCTTGTCTGTGTTGATGTTGATGCATTACTCATATGCATCAGGTTGTGGATCGTTTTTAGTCTTCTCCGGTTACGTCTCATTCGGTGTTGTTCAATAAACGCACAAGAAATTTCGTAACGTATCCGCTGGTTTCCTCTCTCCTTTTGACTTAATCAATGTTCTTCCAAACTCATCCACAAACCTTTCCGCCTGTCCATTTGATCGCGGTTGGTATGGTGGCGAGCGTAAATGCTTGACAGAATGTTTAGAATTGGGCAGAGGTAAATTTCGATCTGTTGTCAGGTACAACCACATCTAGTATTCCATTTCGAGAGAAAATCTCAGTGAGGAGCTGTTTTGTCTTAGTTGTCGTTAGCGGTTGTTTTCTGGCCATGTTGAAAAGGCGTTGACCACAACTAAATACATAGATCGGGACCGCGAAGTCGATATTTATCCTGGTCTAAGGGTGATCAATTTGTGGCCATGAAACCGGCGAAACTTTGGTATTCAGCTTTGACGCTTGCTGAAACCGCATGCATTTTCCAACTAACTCGGTGATGTGTTGATCCATTAGAGGCCGGTATGCATAACTTCAAGCTATGGATTTCTTTCGTCTAACCACTGGATGACCATGATGAAACTGTTTCAGCACATTTGCGCAAAGGGATTCTGGCACAATCACTCTCCCTTCAAACATCATGCAACTGTCTGCAATGCATAGGGTATCCCGCCTCTGATACAGCTCTTTCATGTCACCATCAAACTTGTTAGACGGCCAACCGTTCGTGACATAGCTCATTGTCATCTTCATGATGGGGTCCTTCCTATAGGCGTTTTGTATGTCTGTTGCGGACTTCGGCAAGGCCCCTTTTTGCAGTTGTCGGATAACACTCCGCCGGCAAAGATTCGATTAACATGTTTTCCTTAGCTGGCACTTGGTCATCACTGAGTCTTGATAAAACATCTACCTAACCGAATTGTAGAGTGTGTCGATATTGGATTTCGAAATGATACCTAGATATTAGTGAGAGTGGACATTAGTTTGATAGCTCGGATGTTCTCAAGATCCTGTCTGCGGCAGTCGGTATCGAAGATGAACCCTTAAATCTTTTAACGACAGCAACTATAAGCGGCAATTCTCTGCTGAAGGCGATTCAACTATTCATCTTCGAATGACAGTGTGACTTAAGGCATGGGTCACTTTGGACAGTGAACAGAATTAGCCTCAGGTTTCGACCTAAGTCTCGCCTTCATGGCAGAACACTGACCTAATCCAGGTTGGAACTGCGTCATTAGATTCCTCGTATATGCTTCGAGTTCATGTGGTCGTGATATCAGGTGGCATATGGTATTCAACAGCCCATCAGCTAATTTCAGCTGGTCGAACAAATCCAACACAATCTAAATTTAGATCAGCTAGCGTTATATAAAATACCCCAGTAAACGACGAATCTCTGGAGGTAACTTTATATTCCAATTGTCTTAACAGGCTAAAGTAATTACCACATGCAGTACGATGGTTTATGTTGTCTGCTGCTGGCTGGAGCTACTCAGGTTGGTTCACATTTTACGTTAGAAGTTAGTTTCGCACATAGTCTAATGCATCGCAATAACAGCAAATGGCGTATGATAAAATGTCATTGGAAAAATCGTAGTTTAATAATCCATCTATCGATGACAGTCAAGTATTTTCCGAGTGGGAAATATAGGCTGTAGGTTAGTCAAATAAGCAACTTATGTGCAAAAACATGACTCGTTGTTCTATTTTGTGTCTGAAATAGAAAAATATTTCTCATGCTGTGACAATATTATTGTTGTTTGAAAAAACATCTAACCTGAGTTCGACTGTACTGAGGGATATGAGAAGACAGAAAGTGTTTCTCAAGTGTCATGGAAATATGGTTTTCACTCGATTGATACAATAAGGTAAGAAATATATGGTGGTTCCTAATGCGAAGATAAGAAAATGAGAACAATATTGTTGTTAAGGAATCGAATAAAGAGATTACCTGTATTATTGCAAATTGTTCTACTACTATACAATGCTCAGTCAGTCAGTCAGTCAGATGCAACGTAGAACTTTGTACATAAGTACATCAGTTCATGTTGCCATACCATATCAGCACAGGGATGTCATTGTCAATTCAAATCCAATAGTAGAAGAGGTAGTAAGGGAATTAGAAGTAATCGGAGAGGTTAGGATTAGAAGATACTATTCAAGAAGTATGATTCAGTGAAATAAGTTTAGAGAGTCGAAACTAGAGGTGTTGAAGAATCCAGAAGATTAGGATTTGAGAGAACACAAAGAATAAATGCACCGGCGCCATTGCGAACGATTTTGAGCCATGTCATTCAAGGTCTCTAACCATCGATTATTATCATCTCGCGGACCCCAACCAGGTAGTCGACAATTACCGACATGGCTCAGTCCACCAGTCAATGACTTCATGGATTTCTGCCATGTTTTGGTCTGGCCGCCCCTAACTTTCTTCCAACCTACTCCTACACTACAAAACAAAGCTCGACGAGGCAGTCGGTGGTTCGGCATACGCAACATGTCCCAACTACCTCAACTGATGAAGTTTCACCACTTCACCGATTGATCCGCCATCCTTGCCTAGTACTCGTTTCCTAACGACAGCATTGCTCGCTCGGTTGTCCCACGGTGTACGAGCAATGCTTCGAAGACACCTATGATCGAAAACCAGTAACCGACGAATATCTTCTACTCTCACTGGCCATGTTTCACAGCCATATAGGAGAACGGAGCGAACTACTGCGCAGTACACTCGTCCTTTGATTAGAGAACGGATATCACGCCTACGCCATAAGTGACGCAGGTTGGCAAAAGCCAATCGAGCCTTCTGTATCCGAGCTGAGATTTCGTCAGTCACCAGGCCATCGGCACTGATGAGACTCTCAAGATAAGTGAAGCGGTCTACACGCTCGACTACTTCACTCCCTATCACTAGTTCAGGTGCCGATGCAACCCAGTCTTGAAGCAGCATTTTGCATTTCGAGGGGAAAAACTATACAATGCTCACAATAATTAAGAACATACTAACTGAATTACTTTGTGTAACAAAAAAAATGAGCCATTATATAATCTGTACCATGTTTTGCATAAGCAGAACACTGGAAAATGATTCGTTGTTAATTGTGTTTTGACACAAAATTTATCATGCCTTCAGATGCTTACTTGATCAAATTTCACTTTAAATACCACATGTCAGTAAATATAAGACAGGTTGCCTCTATTCTTCACTCGTGTATTACTCTACAATTATTGTAATTTATTTGACAAATCGACTACGGCATGATATGGAATCATCACAAAAGTCTAAACAGAAACACGTTCGCCGTTATATGCCCGTTATTCAGTGTTCAAAAAGCATACAGTGTCAAGTATTTTCAGGCACTTACGCCTTCATTTTGGTGAGTTATTTCTGCACAAATCTACAACATTGTCAATACGCTATTCTACGCAAGCCCCAACTTTCATTTCGCTTTGCGGAAGTACACTTATAATTTCCTCTAATTGTATTCTCCATGTGCTATCCATCATACATGAAAATATACACTGTCAGTCAGTAAACATCAATGTTAATTCGCTCATCTACTTAGAAGCTAGTCTTTGCAAGTATTAATGAAGCATGATTCGGACATTCGTCCATGGATAATACGTTTCACAAAACAATGTCGAAAATATGTATATCATTATGCTTTAATTTTTCGTTCACCTGGATTTGTTCTATTCCCACGAATAAATCTGTCACGATGTAATGAATGACTCAATTGTTCTACCACAAAATTCAAAATGGCCAAATTGTAGAGCGCACTTCAAGAATCATTGGAAATTGAAACAAAGCAATGGCATGATTATTATCATTTGGAATTTGAGCAAATTTGATTTTTGTACTCAGTTATCAGTTACACAACTAATTGTCATTACTTCTTAAAAACGGAAAACGGGACTGGAGATATTCCTTCTGATTTCACCGTCTACCACATATCAACAACATGGTAATTCATCAAATCAAAAGACAAGTTTTGTGGTTCAAGCAAATGCATTGATCGGTATGACGTTGTCATAGTGGGTTATTCCTTTGTGGAGGATTAACTGCATAGATAAACTTTTACATTCATTCAAAAATTAGTAAATAATTCTGCTTCTGAGCAGCCACCATATCACCTCTTATATTCATGTGTCATGTTCTCGTAGACTGCTTCACTCGGTTGACTTCAGAACATGTGATGACTTGAAATGGTCTTCACAGATATGGAAACTTAAAAATCCAGAACTCGTCAAATTGCCTAATCACTGAAAGTACTTAAATGATGTTAAACAGTACACACTATCAATTGTGAACTGCAAATGTGTTTGAGAAAATAATGACACTTTTGTCAAGTGCTAGCCAAGTTTTCAGTGATCTCATGAATGAGAGCAAAGCTGCTTGACCGGGAAACGGAAAACGCCTAACCAAGTAAAATCCTCAGCATGTTTGTTAATCCTAAATTATGCACAGATCTCATGTAATGTTCACGGAGGTTTCGTCATCGTGGGTTAAGTCACAGGATAATAACACAAAGTAACGTGAGAATCCTCAAACTGATTATGTATCCATCTGATTATGTACTATATCATGCCACCTACGTAAACATATCCCATAAACTTAAATTTAACCTGTCATCATATTCTCTACACAATAAATAGAACAAACCAAACATTATTCTTCTAACTTTCGAAACTATGAAACTACTAATATGTAAGAAGGAAATTTTCATTTCTTGTTTACCACTGATAATTCATTACTATCATACTCCATCAATCTCACTGAATATTGATTACTTGGGAAACAATTGAACATACAGAAATTCAATTTTCACAAATACCTTTTGCCTTCTACTGTTTCCAATTGTATTTGATGTAGTCCACAAGAATACTGAAGTAGAAATGTATCCACGATTTCTATTTGCCGACTTTTGTAGTCTGAAATTCCAGTTTCATTGAATACTTTGTCAAATAAGTAATCCCAATCGATCTGAAAAGTCAATATAGTAGATTGTCGAATTAATCCGTTCACTTAATTGAATTTAACTGTTATCATTAAAAAAACACAACTGTTAATAATAATAAGCGCCAATGTGCTTATATGTGCAATCTGCATTTCCAAACACACATGAAAATATTTGAAGATGGTAAATGATTTCATTCACTGCTTGTCTGTCAAATTAACAGTTATCCACGGTAAATGAACCGTAGAATAATTTGTTCAAATTCCTCTTAAACATTTATGATATAAAAGATTAGTGGTTATGATTCAATTCGTGCAACATTATTGTTAGATCAATAAATGCAAAAGTTAGACCACCATTAGAAACCTGGAAGCACTGGACGGCCGTTTCGTCCTGGTATGGGACTCATCAGTGGCAGTGCGCACCCACGACTCCCACTCCTCACAGGATTCGAACCCGGGACCTTCGGCATTGTAGGCGAACGCCTTACTATCGGACCACTGTGCCACCATCCGACGGTGTTAATGTCTAACTCTGACCTCACCCATTTGTCTTTGGTAGTTACTTCCTACACCCGACAAGGTTGAACCCTATTGGTCACGTCTTCTCAACTAGAACTCCGAGAATTTCCTCACGAAGCTAGCAGTCACTAGTGAGCACTGTTACGATATTTTGGGGCACAGTTTTGGAGGTTTGCGTTCTAATGGTGGTCAACTAACAATGATTGATTGATGATGTCAATTGTGTAAAAATGCAAACTTCCGAAACCGTGCCACAAAATGCAAAAGTCCTTAGCTATCGTTACTCTCTGCCTAACTCATTGTGAAGATGACACGTTCATGATGAAAATCGGCCAACAGGTTTTCTTCATCACATAGAAGTATTAATAAGAGTTAACAAATTCGTTTAACGGGTCACTTCAATGGTATGATAAGGTGAACCAGTGAACCAGTCTCATTCATCAATTGAACCACAACCATACTTTACGAATCCGTTAGATTCCATTTCATAAAATAGTTAATTTATTGGCAGTTACTCTATACATAGGTCAAAAGTATTCAAGTTTGTTTACCTGTCGACAGATATCCTTTAATTCTTCCAATCTAACAACTTTTCTTGACCCGGACGTCGAAAATGTTCCTGCACCTAAGTAATTCTAAAGAATGAAATAGTAATAAAGATCAGTCTCATCAAATTGAAAAATCTCAGTAGAAAGCATCGATATATATGAGAGTTCATAGACTTCTGAAAACCTAAAAAAATGAAACTGTCAATTTGACTCCACTAAATACATCTATTTAGGCAAACAAATTTCATCCTTTCTCATTATTACTTGCTATTTCAGGGTGACACCTATGCAAACTGAATTCATCATAACGATCATTAACAAGGCAAAATCGGGTGAAAAATCAATCCGACATTTTAGTTCACAAATATACGTGGCATCTAGTGTATTATCAAAAATATACGAGAATCATATACCAGACAAACAGATGTCAAACGATTAAACGCAGATAAACTCCTGTTGTAGTAAACGAGAACGCAGGTGGGGCAACCGAATTATATTTAGCGAAATTACAAAGTTACTCAGTAAAATTGGAAAACCATATCGTAAATCGTTAATTTGCAAAATATCAGTTCATCATATCGAACTGGACTGTTCCTGTTGCAAAACATCAATCCATTGTCACTCACTATTCATGTGTTTCATACAAATTCCATTGTGTTCTTCTAACTCTTCCTTTCTTGATCTTCCCCCATATTATACTGCCAGACATTACGTTGACACTCAGGTCATATACTACTTATAAGTAGCTCACACTACACTGTCAGTGCGTTTTCGACTCAGTAGATGTTTAACAATTCAGAACGTTACACTTATGAATAACTTGACAGTATATACAAATACTAAAAAATTTGTATTAGCTCATCATTGTTCAAGAGAATATATATATACTTAAACAAAACGTCCTATAAATCTTTAAGTCTTTTGTCAATTGATTTGTGATTTTCTTCACGTTTAATTAAAAAAAAAACACTTTGTGTCATATAGTAAACATATTTTTTTTTAGAACTGATATTTCTGTGTAAAACGATTCAACATTTGTCTAAAATCTAAGAAGCTGAAAAATCATGTACAGAAAGAAACTTACATTAGCCAATTGGTCAAATAATTCAAAAGTACCATTAAGACTGTCATCATTCGAATGATTTATATTCAGTAAATCAACAGCCTCATAAAACTTGTCTTTTAAGTAAGGAAATCCATACTGTTTAGATAATGAAAAACAACATGCATATTAACAAAGAGTTGAATCAGTTGTTTGAGTATCAGCAAAAAAATACACCCTAATGTTCACTCAAAGCCATCTTCACTATGAATCGATCAATCTTAGACCACCATTAGAAACCTGAAAGCACTGGATGACCGTTTCGTCCCGATATGGGACTCCTCAGTAGTGCGCATCCACGACTCCTGCACCCCGAAGGATTCGAACCCAGGACCTTCGCTCTTGTGCGCGAACGCCTAACCATCGGATCACTGAGCCGGTATCTAACGGTGTTAATGTCTAACTTGATGTCATTTATCCAAATTGCCTTATGGCTGACCAGGAATGTTCTCAGATTTCGCTAACTTCTTGTTTACGTCTACATTCCTCCAGCATCATTCATACACTCAGTTATCAGCATGCATGTAGTCTCACTGCCTGCGCATGTACCTGTGAGTATAGGTTCAAGGATCATCCACTTTGTCCGATGCATCTTATACAACAGTTGGTGCACCTTGTTTTAGATCTGGCGCCTAATATGTCAATCATTCTAAGATTTAGTTCGGATTAGATTTTCAGAGACTTTTATTCAATTTTCTTAATTATACGTGTCAATGAGAGTGAGAAATAACTTTTATCAAAATTATCTGACGTGACATTTGGATGATGTGACCTATTTTTTTCATTGTCTTAAATTTTCTGTACTAAAGAAAATCGCCTTCAGTGATTTATTTGTTATGTAAAGCAGTGACTTGCATCGAATCTCGAAATTACTGAACATCCGATTTCTGAATTATGGAAAATTATAAATATGCTTTTCAAATAACGAAATAATTCGTATCACGATCTTATTCGAAAATATAGTCCATAGAAAATGTAAATGTTAATGCTTTGTTTCACTAACAATGCAGAACAAATAAAATGTCTTACATAACATGTAAATTACCTCGTTCAAGTAATTGAGATTTGATGATAACCGACCTGGATAAATCTAAAAGAAGTCAAATTTACAATCGGGAAAAAATGAAGATTGATTAGTATTATAACAGGATTAGGGGTAAGCTTATTGTATCGACCCATCACACTACTAGACACATAGAACAACATAGCAAAATTGGTTCTCTTGGTATTTATCAGTGTGAAATTAACCGTTGCCCTTACATTAACATTAGTTATGTTGACAGAAATGCGTATCGGAAGAAGCAGACCATTCAACTTGCAGAACGGGGTTAAAACTGTGATAAACGTCTTTCCGGTTAGTTTTACTTTCGGTAACATTGTTTCCTATGTTAGACTGCTGACAATGACATACAGAACTTCAAGTGGAGTTACATTCAAATTTCGGGATAATCAGACTCGTAAATATTTCTAAAGATATTAGAAGAATTATAATGGCCAACAGTAATATTTTTTAACTGATTTGAAACGTTAAAGCCAATTTTATTCTCAACTTTAGTTCTTACATCGTTCAGAAACAATTCAACACTAACTCAAGAGAACAACACAGATATAAGCGAACAATATTGTTGTTTTCGATTAGATCGTCATCAGACTTTACTCTGATTTACATGAATATTTATATGAAAATGTTAAGCCAGTCAAAGCAATTTGAGTCATAATCACAATGAAATGAAACATAGATTACATCACTACACATAATAGGCAAAAGTACAAGTGGATAGTAGGAAGACAGGTGTACTGATAGTAGTAAGAAAATTATAAAATATGATAACAAAAGTTTTATCAATAGTAGGTCAAACGTGGATAAATAGACTTCAAATAATCAATAAAAACATCAAAACCATTACGTAATAAGCAAATGTGTAGAAATAAAAATAAAATAAAAAATATAATGTCAGTCGTTAGTTATGTCATATCCGGCAACGGAAGAGATAGGGGTGTAACGAATTTCTTCTGAACACATAAATTGGGGTTGAATGTACGTTTACTTATGGCGTCTGAAATCCGTTGGGAAATGATGGAGATATACGATAGATCACTCAAAAAGATCTAGATTTATCTACATGTGACCACTGTCTACCAGGTGTGCTAAAATAGAACTGCGTATTGTTTTTGACTAACGCTTCGTAAACCATGCTGGGAGATGTCCACTCATTCGTTGAGTAGGTTGCCTGAGAGTACGCCCGATATAACTATCTCCACAGGAGCAGCTGAATTTGTAAATGCACATAGAGGAGGCCAACTCAGGTAACTTATCCTTCGTTCGGGTAGACATCACTGGTCGACTGGATAGAATGTCAATGCAAGTTTGACAGCGTTGAATGTTCTATTAATTACTCTTATTAATCTATCCTGCAGAGTATCTCAGACCACATCTCCGTTGAATTGTAACTTCATAAATAAAGGCTTATTTTGGGCGGTCAAAACCACCGACTTCTTTTTTAAGGCAAACATATACTTCTTGATGAATGCGTTGGGATAACCAATCTCGGTTAGTGAGCCGTTGATGAATTCCAGCTCCTGACTTAAAGTATTCACTGAACAGATCATATTTGCTCTGCTAGTGCGACATCTAACCAAATTTCTTTAGTAGCGGATAGGTGTAAAACTACAAAAGTGAGTGTATTGGCAAGCACTCAGATTTTTCTATACACGCTTCTACTTAATGAACCATCAATTCGCCTACTTAGTGTGACGTCAAGGAAAGTCAGTTTTTTATGATATTCCTCTTCATCAGTGAACGTGATTGCCGGGTGTATACTGTTGAACTGTTCTAAGAGTTTTTCTTTCCTGCTGTCCTGATCTACATTGATGAATGTGTCATCGACGCAACGACAAAATAGATCAAGTTTCTGAAAAGCTTCATTAATTGGTCCATTTTCTAGCTTTGCTAGGAAGAGATCAGCTAGAATTGGGCCTAGAAGTGAACCCATGGCTATACCGTCTATTTGTCTATCATAAATGTTGTTGAATACGAAATGGACTCACTCAATAAAACCATCTCTAGATATTTTTTGGATGTTTGATACTAATCTAATAAAACTTTGTCGAAACTATTTATTTCCAAGTGTTTTGCTCCGTGATCCATCAAACCACGCAAATCTAGGAATTTTAATGTGTCAAATAACAATGAACTAACCGCCAACTTCATATTTTCAGAAACCCTGAATTTTCTGGTACTACCCAACGAAGTCAATAGTCAATTCTATGGTATAATTTCATTTATCAAAGTGATTTATCTATTGATAATTCGTAATAAATCAATAACGAAATTAATTTCAGTAGACTTCTTCATTTTTAAAGCGTTCACTTGCTTTGTTTATTAGTAAACTCTACAATCTTAATATTCGATTCTTTTGCTACAAGATTATTTATAGAAGGTACAAACTACATCAAGTTTCATCCATTTATGTCTACACCCTGTAAAACTAACACATTTGCATTGAATGGTCAGATTGATCATCTAACTAACGGCCGTTTTATTGTTTTCTGCTGATCACTAAACGTAATCAATCAAGATAAATCGACATTCTATGTTTGAGATTGAAAAGAAGTGGTATTCCGAATATTGTTCGTTGATCTCTGAACACAAGGTATACTCACTGAAATAGAGACTCCAATTATCTACCTGTTCTAAAGACGTAAGTCGTACGAATGTCATGTTTGATTAAAAGCAATTAAATGATAATCTGATTCGTGATAGCCGTGCTCGATCGATTCACTGATTTGTAAACAATTCCCTTAAAAATGGGTAAAGTGCTCTAACAAACAGTAATAGGTGATAGTATGTAGTGTATAAAACATGAGGTACATGAGATTATCCACCTAGTTGAGCATTCAGGACTTACTTAAACTGGCTAATCTATTGAATGATTGCTTCGCTCATCGCTTTTGACTAATTTCACTATTGGATGGTATTTGTTACTGAATGATGACATTTCAGAATACCTGTTAGTTTTACAGGTTGCCTGAATTGCCTCTTTTATGAGTGCGATTCCCTAACACATCATCTTTACAATTATTACTGGTTAAATAGTAAATTATAAATAATGTCATTACATAACATTGACACTATACATGAAATAATTTTCGTGATCAACTTACTCGAATCAGATTGGTGTCTGCATCAACATCCATTGAAAACAATGGTGAATATCCTGTTGTACTAATCAGTGGTAGATATATTTCAGTCAAATTTAAATTAACAACATTTCTCATAACTTGATTTGTGTTTGCTCGACTTCCACTAAAAGCGGGCAATAAATCCCATTGACCAAATGACATTGAAATTAATTGAAGCAATTGATTTTTAACTTGATCATCCGAATCAAAAGGATTTTTTATACAAGCTTTGTAAAAGTTTTGGGCAGCAATTAAACGCTGATCAGTTGAAACATATGAATTGTTAGCTGGATTTGAAGAAAATTACATTGTTTGTGATTGATTAGAGAACAAGTCAAATGAAGTTTGGAAAAATTATATAAATATACAAACATGCTGAAATGATTGAATTAAAAACCAGATAAGTCTTGTTGATTTGCACTGTACAACTAACAACTCTAGGTTTTTGTAGGCTTACTCAAGTTGTATTGTATATAAATGAATGAATGAAGGTAACTATGAGTGCAATGTGTTTTAAAGATCCTTTATACTTTAACTCGTTGAGAAGTGTAGAGAATTATGGCTTATGAATGCGACGAATTTCACTTGTCCGATTTGATGCATTTCGGTATAAATATTCAAATTTTTACGCGACAATCTCCTATATTTTCAATGAAAGTCTACCAGACTATTTTTATTCTTACTGACAATTACAGGGGTGTGAAGTCATAATCCGAACAGTATGAGACCAGCATTAGAAATCTTAAAGCACTGGTCGTACGTTTCGTCTCAGTAGCAAACTATTTAGAAGTACCCTTCCACGAGTCCTGCACATTTCATCTCAAGCAAGAAAGATATATACTTCATGATATTCCTATTTTATTTAGAAATCCCTCACTGCCTAACGGATGAATCTCAGTATCAAAATTAAATTATAGTTGAAAAATTGTATTTTTTTACCGTTCACATGAAATCTATTTCTCTTTAAATTAGCAACCATAAGTTATTCAACTCAATGATGTGAATAATGTATGTAACTGAAAATACTTACCAATCATATTATAGAAGTAATCATCAATGGTTTTTCCTGCCTTCATAAAAGTAGTTATCTGCCCTTCATTATCCGGTATTGGATTATTTGCTTCCCATTCTTTGCAAGCGTATTGATAGAAATTATCACATGGATCGATTCGATGCGAACTAGTGCTTGTAATTTGACTTGTAGTTTGAGATTGTATTATTTCTGTCAGTAAACAAATTGGTGATCAGACGAAATACCATGTAAGTTTGAACTAATCATACACACTCTATGAATATCAGACACGTTTACAATGATATATGAATATGTATGGTCTGTATGGCCTATATGTATATCTCTTATCAGAAGTTACTACTCAGCTTCTTCGTTAATAAGGTAATTCAGTTTTATTCATAATGAGTAAACATTCTTTTAGGTCAGTGGACTTTCTGGCCTAGCTGAAATGCTTGAGTAACTTCTCATTTACAGACATTCTTATTGATACTCAATACTTGTGAAATAAACAGCCTTTGCAAAATAGACGAACAAGTCAACAGACTTTAAACTCAACATTTCTTCATAATGACATTTTGTTCACCAAAATTTATGTAGTCATTTCTGTGGTTAACTACAAAAATGTTTTACTACTTAGTAGATAGCATCATGTAATCAAAGATGATGAGAATGATAATTACGTACGTTGTAGTGAGTCATTCAATGTCTAGCTCACATGACTTGTCCTACTTGTCTTTTGACCTTGTCACTCATTCGTCGCTTGTATACATGTGTGTGCATGTCTACTACACATGCTTACTACATGTCTGTCTTATTTTTGCATTACGGGGTTGTGAAGATCGTGTGTGTCTTATTTTTGTCTGACAAAAAAATAATTAGTCATGCTTTATACCTCGGAGTTGGCTCACTAGCCTCCTCCCATTTGCCTCATCCGTCAATTCGTCCATTCGCACATTCGCCTGCTAGCATGTCTGCCCTGAATGCTCGTAGTCTGCTGATATATATATATACGTCGAGTCAACCTTCTGATTTATAAACCGTCAGACGCTATTTAGTAAACATTGTCTAGACGAGCTAATAACGAAGCCTAAGAACACCTTGAAATTGGCCGCCACAATGTTACATGATTATACACGAAGCGATCAATCTAATAGATATTTAGACAGTATTCAAAAATTCATCATATACATAAGTTTCATTAAGTTTACAATAGAATTAATGAAAATACAATTTACCATGAAAGCAATTGAGGAGTACAAAGTAGATTATCACTAAAATGAATAGATGTTATTAGAAAAAAACAAACAAATAAAAATTATTCAACTTTACCATACTGTATAACAGTTTGTCTTGTAAAGTAGTATCGTTGTTGTTCAATAGACATTTTCTTCTTCGTAGAATAGTGTAGAGAATGCCACCTACTAGTAGTAGGTAGGTGTTGTTTCCGACTGAAACAATCAAAATATTTTCTAAATATATATCATTTTAAAAGGTTTAATTTCACAAAAAAAAAATATAACACTAGCTAATAATGATGTTTACAATGCAATTTAGAATTAAAGAGAAAAATGACCTGATTGTGTCAGATAAGTGTAAAACAAAAGTTTTGAAATGTATTTTGTTCTATGGAATGTGTCGTCGTTAATTAAAAAACGTTTTTTTTTCATAAAATAATTTAGAATTTTACGTTCTATGACCCCTAGTTCTTGTCTGTTTACAATAAAAAAAATATTAAAGCCTTATTTGTTCTGGGTTTTATTGACGGAAGTTCCGAGAAATGTTGAGTGTCTTATTTTTTTGTGTGTATACAATTGTAGTGTCGTTAAACAGTTATAACTCCGAACATTTCCATGTAGTAACTTATAAACGTAATGAAATAAAATGTTTCTAGTTGACTGCTTCCTGTTTTTTTTTTTCACCAGTTTTAACTCTTATAGTAATGACGGGAAGTTTCTGAAGAATTATTCAGATTCACATATGTTCCAGTTTGAGTTACTTGGTCTCCTAGTTTTCCTTTGACCTTAAGTATTTCAAGTTTAAGATTTTGTTGTGATTCGGGAAAATTGTTTTCTGTGATTTATATCTTATCTACCTCCATGGTTGCTTCTTCATGGCCCCCCTCGTTTGTTCTCTCTCACCGTTGATCTTTACTGCCAATGTCTACACTAGGTATCTGCATTACCTTGTATAAACAACCGCTTATAAATTCTCTTAAGTTTCTGAATGTTGATATTTGCAGTTCTGCACTTTCTTCCCTCACTTAATGCATCTGTCTTGACGTTTGTACAGAACGTCTTATTTTTGGTTTGGTCAATAGTCTTTTTCAGTTCAAGACATTATTCACTTGTAAGACTGTTGGACTTGACTTTCTAATTACTGCCTCCTCGTTTGTATCAGGTACTACTTGTGTACCATTAATGCTGCTTAAGTATATAAATGTTCTTGCTTCTTTTACATTTTCTAAGGCTCATCATATTGTCGATCAAAGTTCTACAAAGTTACTCTAACCACTAGGTGGACTATGTTTTCGAACCCAAGCAGTTGAGGTGGAATGATGAGTTTCATTGAATTAGTTGATCACCAATAATAAGTAGCGTCATGAGTTAGTCAGCACAAGAACCATATTTCGCAATCGTAGGCATCTACGTGAACTGTTTCTCTGTTGTCAGGAAGACAAATCAGTCTCAAAACTTCAAAATGAACACGTCATTCACCATAAGGTGTCGTAACTCTTCTGAATGAAGAACATTCAACTCAAAGGACAGAGTTTAAACTGGGATATATGTCTTTTTGGTGGGTTTTACTTTTAGTTATATTGTTTTTATTAAGTGAGAGTATTTCAAACTGAATACCAAACCCTTTTGGTACACATGCTTGTAATCTACAGAAACGATAAAAGGTGCTTCATTTGAAGAATTGCTTTCTATTTTTACTTTTCCGTTTACTTTTCAAACGGTGACTAATTCTTCAATGTCTTTGTGTTTTTTTTTTCTAATGACTTTTCGTCTTGTTTCACATAGCAGTGTTTCAAACGATTTCTCTAGTTAATGACTGTAATCAGAAAACATAGCAACTGTTTCTTAGTAAACGTTATCATTTCAAACAAGTATTTAATTGTTCCTATGATTGTTTTATATGTTTGTTACATTATAAGAGTGATAATTATAACAATTCGTCTGGCTATAAGTCGATGTTTTGCCTAGAACCGTTTCCCTCAATGTTCACATTCAGCTTATACTTTATGCTTTCTCGTCGTCAAAATTCGGAGCTGTATTCAATTAGTCACTATTGTCATAATGTAGTGAAGGAGAACACAGGTGAGGGAAACCGAATTGTATTTAACGGAAATTACAGAGGAGTTACTCAGTAAAATAGGAAAACCATATCGTAAATCGTTAATTTGCAAATCTTCAATCCATTGTCTGACATTTCACCACTGTTCATGCGTTTCATACAAATTCCATTGTATTCCCACTCTTCCTTTCTCTTGATCTTTCCCCATCTTCTGCTGCCAGACATTACGTTTACACTCACGTCATATACTACTTATAAGTAGCGCGTACCACAATAAGTCTACAAAATAACTTGGAAGTTAAATGTACCATAATATAATAATTTTGGGGCAGAGTTTTGGAGGTTTGTGTTTTTACACATTTGAAATCGTTGTTATCAATCATTGTTAGACCACCACTATTAGAAACCTGGAACCACTGAAAGACGGCCGTTTCGTCCTGGTATGAGACTCATCAGCAGTGCGCATCCGATGGTTTGGCGTTCGCGCACAATACTGAAGGTCCCCGGTCCTAATCCTGCGTGACTCAGGAGTCGTGGATGCGCATACCAGGACGAAACGGCCGTCCAGCGATCCTAGGTTTCTAATATTGTAGTTTAACAATGATTGACTGATGATTTTAAATGTGTAAGAATATAATAATTCTCAACAGTTTTATCTAGGCTTTTGTTGATAAAAATAAATTTTATCACGGTGTTAACAACCTTATCAGTTCATTAGCATTTTAACAATTCATTTTTTTTCTATAACTTGGCTCTAAGAGTTATTTAACAGCTCCAATGACTTTTTTTTCACACAAAAGATGAATGAACTACTCTAAGAACAAATAAAACAAAAAAATGTTTATAACACGCCATAATGATGTGATTGCTTTGTTTTGTAACCACATCAAAAATAATTAACCATAGTCAGTACAAATAAAAGTCTAGTCTCATTTGAAACACTGTTAACACGTAGATGAAGAATGTTTTATATTTTTATTAAGAATATATTAGAAACTTAATTAACATTGAATATACTAACAGTTTTTAAGTGTCATTTAGCAGAGTAATACAAAAAAAGGCATTATGCCAAATCATTATGAAAACATTTGGTTCTAGTCACCAAATAATAAGACATACGAACATACAGTACGAGATTGGAGCAGAAAGTTTTACGTTTCTTTGAAATAACATGATCTCCATTATCAAATCATATAAAGTTAACTGAAATTTGAAGTCGTAATCATCGTATTTCAAATTAATGTTCCGGTGGAATCGATTGCTAGTCACAGTCCTAAGTTTGAAATCTGGTTTATTTATGTCTTCAACAATTTCAATTCTACCAAATTTTTTTGGTACAATTGTCATCAGTTCTGAGCCATCTTGCAGTTTTACAACTCATACACGGTAGATTTTTCTGTGCTGAAAACCAGCTAGGTCACTGGCTGGTGTGAATTCGAATGAGAACTATGATTCGTAATATCATTATATGGAGAAAAATACTAAAATTACTCTATACTACTTAAAAATAGTTAGTACTATATTTCGGAACAATCGCAACATGTGATGCTGAACTTGTAACAAAAACAAACGTCATTTGTGAAGAGGTTTATAGAGATTTCGAACAAAACGAATTTCTCCATACAATGGTTCCCTTTGATAAATTTGAACAGAGAAATGAGAAGACATATTTTGTGAGATAGTAGTACCATTTCGTGCTTTCTCGTCAGTCACATACAAGCAACATGTTTTTCGTGTAAATACAGCAGTTTTGAAGATAAGGTCAAAATTTCTTATTTAGCATGACATTCTTCACTCACTAGAACCATGCTAAGTAAACAAAGGTCAACATACAGTTGTTTTTGAACACCATATAAAGTTGGACTTTTCCGACCAATCAAGATAGCTTTGAGTAGTTTCAGTGTGTGTGGGTTTTGATGACATGTCACACAACTATAAAGGCTGATTTTGGGTCAATTTGGTGACCACTCATC